CCAGGCTGAGGAGGCTCGTGCGACCGATGTGTCGGCCCCTGCAATGGCAAGGTGGCCGCGTGGAGAAGGCGCCGAGGCTCTCCTCGACTTTCTCATGAATGCGATGCACTCCCCCTTGGGCGCCGTGGCGCTCTCTCCCGACAGCGAGGTGGCGACCACTAGCCCGAGCAAGGCCCCCTTCGCCAAGTCCGAATGCCACTTCGACCTCCTGGGCTTCTTGGACCCTTTCGCTGCCGCTGCCTTGCTGGAGCCGCGGCTGCTTGCGCGGCGTGGGCCCAGGGCTGGCCCTCTGGCGCGTGCGGTGGGGCCCCCAGCCCGACCAGCCCCTCCGAGGCGGGCCCGTCAGGCCAGCAAGCTTGGCGACCTCCTGCAGTACCTGAAGCAGTGGGATGACGTGGGGCTCCTGGAGCTGGTCGCCGCGGCCGACTCCCCGCTGGCCTTGCGGGGCACCCCCTTCCCCGTGTTCAAGGACTCGAACGCTCAGAGGGTCGTCTTCAACCGGATCGCCCGAAACGCGGCCGAGCTTCTGTTGTGCGGCTTCTCCAAGTTGATCCCGAGTGCTGCCATGCTGGTGGACCTGGAGGTGCCCTCCGGTCATGTCTTGCGCGTGTGGGCCGACGACCTCCAGGACTTCTACCCGTCCTTCCACTGCAGCTACGAGATGGCCTGCACCAGCGACGTTGCCCCCCCTCCCTCCGAGGCTCTACGAGGGCTTCGCGGCGCTGGACAAGTTGCGGAGCCGTTGCCGACGCGAGTGCCGCGAGCTCCCTGAGAAGGTGGTCCCCTGCCACGGCGGCCTGATCATGGGAGGCTTGAGCGCGCCCGACTGGGCGTGCGAGTCCCACGCGCGGCTGCTGGCCCAAGCTGGCAGTTCCCCCCCAGAGCGGCGGGTGCTCAACCGCCACCTCGCCCCCGATGGGGCTGCCTGGGAGGGAGACGTGCTGGGCGACCACTTCGGTCTGGCCGTCGACGCGCCTGGCTCGCGGGCAGCTCGACGCGCGATCGAGGAGTCCTTCGCCCGCGCGCGCGAGGCTTATGCTGACGCCGGCCTCAAGGTCAGCGCGGGCAAGGAGGTAAAGGTCGCAGCGGAGGCGACGGTCATCGGGGCGGAGCCTCCCGCGCTCGCAGGCTGGCGCTGGGCTGGGTGGGCCTTTCCCTGGCCCGTGGCCGGCGCTCCACTACGCTGGGCCTGCAGAGGTTCCTCGGCGTGGGCCTTTTCGCCGCTCTGCTTCGGAGGCCCACTCTGTCGCTCCTCCACCACTGCTGACGCGGGTCGCGACCCGCACGAGGTGTTCGAGCTGAGCGGCGCTGCCTGCAACGAGTGCGGCCTGGTCGCGGTCCTGCTCCCGCTGATGACCACGGTCCTCTCCGCTGGGTGGGGCCCCCGCGTGCTGGCCTCAGATGCCTCGCACATGGCTGGGGCGTCTGTCAAGACGCCCGCCCAGGCGCCCGTCGCCCGCGCCTTCTGGCGACAGCGCGAGCAGCGAGGCGCTCGTACGTGGCTCTACCCTCCTGGCTGGGCGGCCCTGGCGAACCCCGAGGATGGCGGCCTCTTGCAGGATCTGGAGGAGGAGGCCGCCCCGCCCCCCGGCGTCGTCGCCGACCCGACGGCCTCGCTCATCGAGTACTTCGACGTGCTGGAGCTCTGCCGCGGGGAGGAAGCCTGCCTCCTGGGCCACCTTGCAAGCCGAGGCCTGCGCGCGGGCCCGAGGATCGACGTCAAGTGCCACGAGTACTGGGACCTGGTCAACTCGCGCCTGGCAGAGTGGATCATATGGCTGATCTGGCAGAGGCGCGTGAAGATGACCATCTCGCAAGTACACACCAGCTTCTCCATTGCGAGGCGCCCGAGGCTCCGCTCCAGGTCTCGGCCCTGGGGGTCCGATCTTGCACCCCCACGCGGCTGGGTAACGTCCTCTTCGGGCTGGGGATGCTGGCTCTACTCGCGTACCTGCTCTCGGGCTACGGCACGGGGCTACATGGGCACCCTTTGACGGCCTACTCCTGGCACGCGAGCATCGTCCAGTTCTTGTTGTCGCACGACGCCGTGGAGCGGATCGACTTCTCGATGTGCCAGTTCGGCGCGCCCTGGAAGAAGGGCGCCAGCCTCCTGGCTGTGCGAGGCCCCAGGCTGGCTCCGATGGCGAGGCGCTGCCGCGGGGGGCGCGCGCGCGCCGTCCTGGAGGGGCCTGACCCCCAAGGCCGCGCTTTACCCGCACGGGTTCTGCGACGAGCTGGCCCGGCTCATCTCCGAGAACCTGGACTGGGCGCCCCCGCCGCTTCAGCCGGAAGGAGGAGCGCCCCCGGGAGCTTTCGAGGCCCTCTAGCTCAACGACTACGTCAGCTTCGCCCCCTGGCAGCTGCGCCACCACCGCCGCTTCTCCAAGCCCCTCCACGTCAACTTGCTGGAGATCGATGCGGCTTGCGATGCAGTGGACGAGCAGGGTCTTCGATTCCTTCTTGATTGCACGCGCAACCTTGTCCTGGACTCCCGCGTGTCGATCGGGGCCATCAGCATGGGCCGCTCCGCCTCGACCACGATAAACAAGCTCTTGAGAAGGCGGGCCCCCTTGCAGCTGGCTGCGGGCACGTATGTCGAGTGCCACTTCTCGCCGACGCGCCTGCAGCCGGCTGACGCCCCGTCGCGCGCGCTTCGTGATCCAGCGAGCATGGCGGCCCGCGGAGCCGAGGCGACGCCGTCCGCTCCGCCTTGGCTGGCCAGCCTCGAGGCCAGGGACGCCTCAGCCTTTCGCGCCTGGGTCGCGCTCCCGCTGCAACGCCGGCAGCAGTCGCGGTGGGTTTGGCCGGTGGTTCGCTTGTGGTGGCGAGGGCTCCTGCGGCTGGCCCCTCGCCCGCGGGTGCGCGACCCCGCGCTGGGCTTTCCTGGGGGGGGCCCGCGGGGCGGGGCCACGGAGGACACTGCCTGGGGCGCCGCCGGAGCCGCCGCCGACCCCGCCGGGGTGGCCGCCGCCGGGCTCGCCGGGCGCGCGGGCGACGACGGCCGGCCACGGCCGGTCGCGGCGGGTGGCGGTGTCTCGCCGAGACGGCCCCCCATGGAGGTGAGCAGGGTTTCATCCCCTGGTCAGGTGATGGCCAGGATCCGCCCGGGCACGGCCAGCCTCACTGGGTGGCACCGTCCCCTTTGGCCCCTGGTGCTGCTGCTGATGCTGGGCCGCGCTGCGGTGCCGCGCCCGCCGACGGCCCGCCCCGCGGGGGTGGAGCTGGCGGCGACTCGCGGCCTGGCGTCTGTGGTCCAGGCGCGCCGCGCGGCCCTCGTGTCGCAGCTCCAGCACTGGCTGGCTGGCTGCGGCGGCCCGGCCTGGGACGTGTTCATCCTGATGGGCCCGGAGACCGTGGACCGATACCTGTCCCAGCACGGCCAGTTCATGGATGACACGATGAGGCGTCGCCACGACTTCGACGAGATGATCAACGCTGGGGTGGGTGCCGATCGAGCCCCTCGACACCAGCCCGACGCGGCATGGGGCATCTCCTTCGCGGGGAAGCACCTCATGCTGGGTTCGAACCACCAGGCTATGTCGGAGTCGCTGTCTCTGAGCCTGGCGCTGGCCTGGGGTTGGACCGTCGGGGCCGGCTGCCCGCTCCTGGGCTTCTTCGGCAGGGTGGGGCCGTTCCAGTTCCTGAGGCTGAGGTTCGGGGACCTTGTGCCCCCCTCTCGCTCGCAGGAGCGACTGCAAGCGATGTAGTGCACGCCGGCGCGCCAAACATGAGATGTCTTGGCGCTCGCCGCTTGCGCATCAGGTTTGATGTTCCACAGATTGTGCGTCTCTTTGTGGCCCTTTCACGTCGGCCCTCCCCTCGCCTGTCTCCCCTGCATGGTGGTGCCCGAGCTCGTTTGCCAGAGATTTACATCCAGGTGGTAGGTGCTTGCAGGCGTCTTGCTGACCTCCCGGGTCCCTCCCGTAGTAGGTTCCGCTTTTCGCGGAGGCTGCTGGCGACCTCCTCCTTGAGGCCACCGGGCAGCTTCTGGCTTCGAGTCGTTTGCCGAGGCCGAGCGACGGCGGCCCCTGCCCTGCCGGTCCCCGTCCTCGAGTGCCGCCGCCGGTGCGAACAGAGCTCTTCGGTGCCCTCCTCTCTCCTCCCGCCCCAACCCCGTCTTCCACCATGAGCGGGTGTGCCCTGAGGAGGCCAGCCCCTTTTTGCGGCCGTCCTCGTGCTCAGAAGTTCGCAGAGGCAGTGGTGAGCCTGGAAAAGGTCATCGGCCTTGGGAGCAGAGGAGTTTTTTTCAGCAGAGGAAGGGCATCGCTATATATGTATACATACGCACGTCATTCATATGTTTATACATATGGATCTACATTCAGAAGTCCGCCCGGATTTCTTGCATCGACCTTGGACCCCAGTGAATTTCCGAGCGGACCTCCGGGAGTTTTTGTGCTCGTGCCATCCTTTCTTCTCGTGTATCTGCGTGCTGCTGAGGTTCGGCGGCGCGCCCCAGGGGTGGAAGGCCGAGAGGGCGGGCCATCGCAGAGAACATAAGAAGGGCGGTGGCCTTCCGGGGGCCTTTCTGACAGCCTCCTCCGACGCCTCAGTCAAAAGTCATTCGGCTACCTTTGGGCATCAGTTGAAAGTCGCCGAGACGGGAACTGTTCCCCGCATCCCATCGCATCCCGTTCGACCTCACCCCGATCCCTTGATGCTCGATCCTTTGTCGGGCTGGGGTCGAGGAGAAGCTTTGCAAAGGGCCATATGGCTTCTGACACGCCCCGCCGCCTTCTGAGAAACCTTGCCCCCATTCCACTCCCCCCCGCGGCGCGCCGCCGACCTCCTTCTGTGTGCTGCCAATTGTTGCTTATGTGTTGATTGTTGCTGTCGTTTGTGTTGGTTTATTATCATATCTACGACGCGTACTTACAATCAATATGAGTAAGCTCAACAGCCTGATGCGGAAGAGGTCATAATATACATCCAATTCATATGTGCCAGAGCTGCCAAAACTTTTGCGTACTGCCACAGCTGGTCGGCGTTTCCTTCCAGAGATCCGCACCCGTGGCGGCCAGCTGCCTTTGCCTGCGGTCGGTGCAGCGGCCGCTGCTGGCGTCGGCGCGGCTGCGCTGGGCGGGCTCCGCGGGAATGTGGTTGCAGGCTCGCGCTGGGGCCGGACCGCCCCCTCCGCCCCCCAGGGACCCCCTTTTTCTCGTCGTGAAATTTGTGCCTTTTTACCTATCCCAATCCCTATCGGGCCATGGGGGCCATGGTACTTCAGCCCCACTATCAGTCCGAAAGGAACAGCCTGTATTCCCATCTTGGGGGGGTAGATTGGCCAGTGGGGCCTAGGCCACGCCAGTGGGGATAGGGATCGGTTGAACGGTGCTCATGAAACGTCACGACGTGTGGTGTTTGGCCGTTTTCGGTCTCCAAGGGCCCTCGCCGGACCTCGGGAATGTCAAGCAAACGTCCCTGGATGAAAAACTTGTCCCGGGAAAGGGGTCTAGACATTTGGGTGCCGACGTGTAAATTACGACGTCGGAGTTCTGAGTTGGAGGAGCAGAGGAGGAGGAGGAGGAGGAGGAGGAGGAGGAGGAGGAGGAGGAGGAGGAGGAGGAGGAGGAGGAGGAGGAGGAGGAGGAGGAGGTGGGGAGGAGGAGGAGGTGGAGGAGGTGGAGGAGGAGGGTGGAGAAGGCGGGAGGGAACCGCGGAACAGAAGGAGGAGGCAGAGGAGGAGGGGTAGGAGGCACGGCTGCAGTTTTCTTGGGCGCGCGAATGTCCTGGCTTACCGAATCCCCCTTTCACGGGGCCCTGACTTCTTGCGATTCTATCATGCGCGAGCTTCTGGTCGGCCTCGGCTCCGCCAGGGCCGAGCTGGCAGAGGGCTCCAGCCGCTGCTGCAGGCCCTGGGATGGTGCATTTCCCATGAGGGAGCGCCGTCGAGGCCCCGTCGCCGCGATCCACCGTCCATCGGCACAGCTCCAGTAATCACAGCCGTGCGGACGTTGTACGTCCGCCGACCACTCGTCGAACGTGACGCTACGGATCCTTCTCGGGAACACGCTAGCGGCTCTGGCCGCAGGCGGCTGGCGACGGCGGCGGCGACGGTGACGGAGACGGCGGCGACGACGCCGACCCTTGGACCCATCCGAACAGTTCCGAGCCCCTCCGAAAAACTCCGGCCCAAATCAAGGTAGGACCATCCAGCCAGACGACCGAAACACGCCGATGCAGCTTCTTGCCAGCATCGGGCCAACGTTCCGTCCCCTGCGGGACTCCTGAGCCAAGCTGACTGCTGACGACGTGCATGCAAGAGGGCCTGGGAGCACTGCCCCTCCCGCACCGTCGTAACGGCCCCTGGCCCTTCTCGCCCACGCCCTCCTCGGGCGCCCGCCGCTGCCGCTGCGCCCGCGCCCGCCGAAGCTGCGGGACGTGCGCGGCGCTGGGCCCCGCCGCCCGCTGCAGCCGCGGCGGCGGCTTCTGCTGCCGCCTCTGCTGCTGCTGCTGCTGGCGGCGGCGCCACCAGCCCGCCCTCCCTGTCGTGGCCCACTGTCTCCCTGTCCGGCCCCGCGCAGAATTTTGTTCATGCCGCTGCCCCAGAAGCTGGGACAGCACGACATACAACCCTTTGCGAAATCAAACGCAAGTTTTTGTTCCGCGACATGATGGCGCCCCAAGACCCCACGTTTCAATGTGCGCGCCGAAGTTTGCGACTCATATTTCCCAACCGTCCTGTGGTGTTGGGCCCTCGTTTTGAAGAGACAACGCCCCGCGTCTCCTCTCTCTCTCCTCTCCTCTCCTCCTCCTCCTACTCCTCTTACTCCTCCTCCACCTCCTCCTCCTTCTCTTTCCCTTCTCTCTCTCTCCGCCCGCCGCTGCCTCTGCTCTCCGCATGCTCATTTAGTCTCGAGTCGAGGGTCTCTGGCCCAGTGCGCAGCCACGACACGAAGCGCTCAGCATTACCGTTGTGCGCATCGCGGGACTGGACACACGCCATCCCCCCCTTCAGTGTCCCCACGCGCGCCGAAAAGTCCTCGCCGTGCGCCGTGCGCGCCCTGCACGACGGCAGTTCACGCCACCAAGCAACAGCCGCCAAAAGGCGACCTTAACGGATCGACAGGAAACCACCTGAGTCGGAAGGAAGCCTGCGTCACCGTTTTCTAAGGCAGTGGTGGCGTCGACCAAGCAGTTGCTGCATACACGGAGCTCTCGTACAAGCGCCAAGCTGATCTCGATATCACTTATCAGCGACGCCACTCCGACCAGCGAAGGCTCAGCTACACCATGCTGCATTACTCTTTCGCGCACACAACGGCCACATGCTGTGGAAGTGCACCAGCGGGGGCCGCGGTCGAAGCCGAAACCCACCAGGGCAACGGCACGACCCCTCTCATTAGTTTTGATGCGCAAAAAACGGACGTCCCCGCCACCACAGCGCCCGAAAGGGACAATGAGGGTACGTCATGCACCACCAACATCTCATTCCACACGCTTGAGGAAGGCAAGCGCCTGCCCCAACAGATCCGTATTCAGGACGAACCTCTAGCCCTCGGACTTCTGGGGGCCACTAACATTGATTACATGCCCCTGCAGAGAAGTATTGATCTCTGGACTGCAGCGCACGGCGAAGGCTACCAAGCCCACGCCAGGCTTCATCCAAGGCACCATCGGCCAACTCAGACGTGAAGAGGTCAAATGCCTCCAGCATGTCGTGCGGGTCAAACTCGACCCAGTCGACGACGTCGTTTGGATCTTCGCGACAAATTGACGGGGCAGACGTCCTCGATGTTACACCCGCACTCGAGGAACTATATACAGCCCAATTCTCAGGTGCCGCACCGACCGACGGTGGCCGCTATCCAAGCGTACCCGGCACGGCGCCGCAAAAAGGCAAAGGGGCGCCACGAATCAGCGAAGAAGGATGCTGCGCGCATCCATGCTGACGATGGTCTCACCGGTGCCTTCACGGCTGCGTTCGTGTCCCATTTCCGTGCCGTACAGATCCGGGAAGACAAGAAACTCCTAGGGCGCCATGGCACAGCTGTCGGGGAACGCAAGCTAGTGGCTGCTTTGGCATGTATCCAGCCGTTGTCCCCTTGGTTTTCTCTGCTTCGGGTCACGCGGGCATCCAATTTGATGTCGGCTACCGTGAATCCACGGGACCAAAATCCGGTGATCGCACCATCGTGCGGCGCGCTGACGGTGGCCAGACCATGTTCCAGCAAACTTACCAGATTTCCGCCAAGCGCAATGCCTTCGGATTGGTAGGGACGGACAAGAGAGTCGGCATCAGGGTTGGGCCAGACACCAAGGAGGCGAAACAAGTGGCACTCGAGCTACGCGGCGCCGACGTCGCATCGGCCAACGCCAAGTGCAGCTCCGTGGGGAGTGAGCCACAGGCCGCTACCAAGATGCAAATCGCGGAGGTGCTCGCGCCTATCAAGTGGCATTGTGAGGCGCAGCGCACAGGCTGGGACAAAGCTTGTCGCGGCGGCCAGTCCTCCGCCAAATGCTACGATCCACCTGCATGGGCCCACCATCCCAGGGGCCGTCGTTAGGTTGGATACAATATCTTCAGCCAAGGCGAATCGACGGAAAGGCTGGTCGCCACGACTGTCTCACCAGACACTATCGCGACGGAGAATCTTGCCTCGGGGGCGCCTCCGCCCGCAGGGAGGGCCAGGGCCCCCCCCCCTCGCTGCAAGACAGGGCGGTCGCCGGACCTCACGGGCAAGTGCCGCTCAAACCCCGAGCAAGCCCGAAAGCGTCGCCGCCGCCGAGCACCCCGCCGCCAGGGAAGTAGCAGCGCGGCGCCAGCGAGTCGGGCGCTTGCAAACGGACCGCCAGTATCAAGAAGGAAACCGTTGCTTTCATCGACGACAGCCATCTTGCCATGGAGGACGCAGCCGACTGCGACACGGAGGGCGGCGTCGACGGAATCGACGGCGCTGGCGCCCCATCCTTGGCTTCCGACGAGCGGCGCGCGGCAGCGGGCTACGATGACATCTCCGAGGAGAAGTGGCTCTTTCTTTCAGTGAGGCGTGCAAGGCATCTCCGATCAAGCTGACGCGAGAACCCAGGAATTCGAAACTGATCAACGCAGCTCCCCGAGACGGTTGGGCGCCTCCAAACTACCGTCACCAGTGTGGCCACCATCCAAGCCACTATGGCGCAAGGGCGCACCCTCCTCGAGCAAGGGATCCACGCGGCTGAAGCTTAGCGGAGTAGCATGAACGTGGGCCTTGAGACTTTCATGAGCTAGATGGCACCCTCTGTCGCGATGGCCCAAGTCCAAGCGGTGCAAACCACCCCGGCGGCAAACTTGGGCCTGGGCGCGGTCGGCCCTGCGGCCCTGCTCCCGCTGGCGCTCGCTGGAGGCCATTGGCTGTCGGGGCTGCTCGCGCCTGCCAGTGCGCCCGCGCCGCCGCCGGTGCCCCCGCCCAGCCTTCGCGCGCGCCTGCCCCCCTGAGGGCTGGCTGCTGTGGGGGGTGGTATTTGCCTTCCTGTTGGGAGGTCTCAGTGTGCTCGGCTGCCTGGGCTGCTCCACGGTGGCCGCGGGCCTGGCGCGGCGGCGGCGCGGTCGCCCCTTTCGCTGGACTTCGGAGCCCGCGGCGCCGCCGTCCATTGACGAGGTGGGCTTCGTGTGCGACGTCCCCGACGCGCCCGCATGATGTGGCTGCGGGACGAGGATGAAACGACTGGCGAGGTGGCCATGGCGGCCGCCGCCGTCCGCCGCAGGCCTGTGGGCTCCATGGTGGCGGTGCCTGCCAGCGGCATCCAGCCTCGATGCTGTTCGACGTGATCCTCGTGGATGTGATCGGCGAGGTGGGGGTGGAGCTCGTCCCCGGGGCGGCGTACTTCGAGGGTGCCGCGCGCTCGGAGCGACCGCTGCGCCGCTTCGCGGCGCGTGGGCGGCACTGGCCGCGCGGGCGCTTGCGGTTGGGCGAATCGGCTCGCGCCTGCCGCGAGATGTTCGGCGAGGAGGCGCTCGCGGAGTCCCTCGCGGCCGCGGAGGAGGGGCCCGAGGTCGGGGGAGGCGTGGGCAGGCCCGGCGCGCTGGTGGCCGTCGGCGCGGGCTCGGGCGAGGACGAGGAGCCCCCTCCGCCTTCCGCCAGCCGCGGGCTCGCACCGGAGGTTGCCCCAGCTGCGCCCCTGCC